GGCGGCATTTTCCGAACGTTTGGATCTCTGGAGTGCGTTCCGTTCCTAAACGGTACGGAGGACCCCAGAGGACCTCTGTTTATGTGAGTCGTGACAGCCTGTATTCATCATATTAGAGATGAACACGGAGCAAACATAACAAATAAGCCCATTACACAGTCACACAGCACCGTGTTATTTATGAACAATAGCTGTATTTTCCAAAACAAAAGAAGCCAGCAAGCACAGAGGCGTTGGTCTGCCTTCCTGCAGGTGGCTGTAAAATTCAGCTTCAAAGGCGCTGGCAGGAGGCGCGTCGCACACTGGTTCTGCCTTCAGCGCCTGCGACCTCCCTGGCCCCGCAGCCTCTGGAAGACTCAGCTGTACACACATGAGAGATGAGGGGGAAGGCAGGGGGCCCTGGTGTTATTATCAGAGTAGTTTTGACTTTGAAGAGCCCCTCAAAGGGCCTTGAAACCCCTAGGAGGGAGTCCCTGGTGCACCTTTGAGAGCCACTGACTTGTGGGCTAGGTAATTGGAAAAGGGGGGGTGTGGTACCTTCTGAGAGAAAGAGACATGGAGGCTTAAGCGGCAGGTGCCATTGGTTCCCCCAAGTCTGGCCCTGCCTCGGAGGTCTCTTCCAAATTATGCACGTGAGGTACACCCAGGCTGTCTTTGCAAAGCATCATCCTTCTAGCGGTGCCTCCTGAATTGCAAAGGAACACTGGGAATTTGGATGTGGGTCATGAAACACGAGAACACATAGGTTCCTGTCCCAGCCTGAGAACAGTGGTCTTGCCCGAAACTTCTGGATCGCTGTGATTCCACCAACCCTACCTGGCTCGTAGCTCTCGGCCTCTGATAAACCTGGGCCTTAGGATGGATGCGAGCTTGTCTGCACGCTTCGTGCTCTTAGTCCTGTCACCCACGTGTTGACGCCTTCAAGGTGGAAGCTGTTAAAAAAGGGCGAGCCCTCGTGCCTATGGGAAGGCGGGCGAGTCAGGCCCGGCCCTGGAGAGCGTTGCCGGTGGGTGACGCACACGCAGGAGCCAGAGCTGAGGTCATTCGCTGGCTGGGGGGGGGGGCTTCTGATTTCCTCCTTGTCCAGCCACCCTTGAGGGTTAAGCGGCACCTTAAGCAACTTCTCGGTTATTGAACGTGTTCTAATTTCGTCTCATCTCAGGACTCGTTAACTTTTAAATTCTGAATTGTGTGTAGGCGAAAGTTGAGGTTTTTTTTTTTTTTTTTAGAAAAATGAATATAATGCAATTAGTTAAGTGCGTGCATGAGAAATAGATGGAAAAATCACAGAAAGTGAGTTTCCTACCACTTAAAGCTTTTAAGCGAAAGCACATAAAATCCAATCTTGAGCTGCTTAAAATGAAGTGAACAGGCTTTAGTCTAACACCAAAGTGGAAGAGGCTCTAAATATGAATTCTCATTCCTTTGAAGAGGCGCCCTCCTGTCCAGGGGCCTGTTTGATGTGGGCAGAGGGGAGGGCAGTGGATTCTGCCTTTGGGCCAGAAAGCACTGGCACCTCGGAGGGCTGCGTCAGCCTGGGAGGCTGCCCGGCCTCAGCGTTCCTGGGACGTTGTTTACCCGACGTGCTGGTGTACGTGTGCACAGTCAGAGCTGGCTGTCTGGTAGGAAATAGCAAGTCTGGGTGGACGTGTGTGAGGACTATGATGGGAGAAAAGTGGATGTCTTTAGTCTGGCTTGAAAATGCAAAAATGGAAAAAAAGGGCCAAAAAGGAGGGAATTATGCAGCTGAGCACTTCGGCAGATGATTTGGTTTGCCCTCGCGGTGCCCCTGCCAGATGGACGGGTTGACCCCCTCTCTCTCCCCTCTATTTTTTTTCCCTGGGTGAGGACCTGAGGCTCAAAGAAGTCCCAAAGGTGCCTCGCAGCACACGCAGGCCATCGAGGAAGCGGGCACCAGCCCCAGGTGTCTGAGTCCAGGCTGAGCCTGTGCAGCCGCACAGCCGGAGGGGCCTTCTTTCCAGGGATGGAAGTTTAGCAACTCAGTTTCCGACTCCCAAATTCCTCATAATAGTCTGCCGAAAACAGCCCCAGGCCTCTCTTCTCTCTCCCTGATCCAACAGTATGAACGTGACTTCAATTAGTTTCAGGAAAGCAGTCACTCAGAAAACAGTTTAGGTTCTTCCAGGCAGCAGGTGAAGTGACACTGTGGTTCTGTGCCCCCACGTCTGACAGTGGCCCTGCCCGGCCTGCCTGGGAGCTGGGATGCCGCAGGTTGGAGGAGTCCCATCCTTGAGAAGACACGCAAATAGCAAACAAGTGGACACGCGGTTTTAGGAGAAGGGTAGAGACCCGGATAGGGCAGGGGGTCTCACACAGCAAAGCGTGTTGGGGACATCAGGCCCAGATGTGGGGGGGCAGGGGTGGTGACATCAGACTGGGCTGCAAAGGTGACTGGGAGTTAGCAGTGGTGGGAGAAAGGAGGGTGTTGGGGCAGCCCCGCAGCATGTGCAAAGGCCCGGGGGTCAACGAGGCACCTGGGCAACGTTTACTTTGCCCGGGGTGTGGGGGCCAGGAGGGGCAGGGCCGAGAGATGAGGAAGGAGAGGTAGGCAGGGACCAGATCATGAAGAGCCCTAGAGGGATTCTGGAAGTGTCTAAACAGGGGAGTAACATGGTTTAATTTACGTTTCTAAAGGATCGTACTGACGGTGTGTATGGAATCGGGTGCCAAGGAAACATGCATCAGAGACAGGACTAGGAAGGTTTTATGGAGCCCAGTTGAGAAATGATCCTGAGATTTGGTTGGGGGCGGAGGAGTTTGAAAGGATGGGAGGATTCAGGAGATAAATTAAGGCTTAAAATCAGTAAAATTTAATGCTCGATTAACCCTTAATCAAATTGGGATTTGAGGCAAGCTCATGTACTTGCTGAGTGTTTACTGAGCCCTACTGTGTGCTGGCGTTCCTCGTGGGGACACTGGGGTGCGCAAAACTGAGCCCAAAGCAGATGTGGTGCTAACTCGGGTGGTGGGCTGGGGAGGGATGCGCATGTTCCAGGCTGGGGACAGCTGACCCGAGGCCCTGCAGCAGAGGCCAGGGGCGGGAGGCCGCTGGTGCTGCTCTGGGGTGGCTGAGAGTGGGCGTGGAGGAGCAGCAGGGCGGGCACGCAGGTGGTGATGCGCTGAGCTGCTGTGGGAGTCCAGGAGCAGAACCTGAGTTGCTGCTGACGTGAGACGCAGATCAGGGCGTCATCACCAGGGAGAAACCCTGGAGCCAGCAGAGGGGACAGGACACAGGAAGGTGGGGGGCGGGGAAGGTGGGGACCCCACAGGTGCAGAGACTGCAGGTTCACAGCTCCGTCACCCCTGGTTCGTGTTCTCCAAGGAGATGCCTCCTCCCTAATGGAGAGAACCCTCTGCACTTTGCTGGGGAGCTCACAATGAGCCACGGTGGTGCCCCCCATATAACCCCAGGGCCTCCCCAACCAGGTGTGCTTGGCATGAGGCCTTAGAAGTAGTTCGCCTGCTCTGCCTGGTCCAGCCCCCTGGGGGAATGGTCTTTCCACAGCTGTCCTGTGTGCACCTTGCTTCCCACTGGGTGCTGAGTGCTTCGGATATCCCCTGCCTGCAGAGGAAGCCATTCCTAGACCCCCATTTTATATATGCGGAAGGCAAGGCTTTGTGGGGGCGAGGGGTGGCAGCACTGGCTGGCCTCCTGCAGTGTCCAGATGACCTGCTCACTTTGGGCCCAGCGCTGTGATCCTATTCTTCAGCGACTGCCCAACCTGGGGTGTCAGGAGCGGCAGGTGGGTGATGCTTTGCAAAGAGCAGCAAAGTCAGACAGAGAGCCTGCCCGTGGAGACTGGGCAGCGGAGGGCAAGGCCGGGGCCATGTGCAGGGAAGGGGTGGGGCAGGCAGCTTGCTCTCAGTTGCGGTCTGTACAGAAGTTCATGCCCAGGGGGTGCGCTTCTTCCTTGCCAAGTCTGGTTGTTCTGGGGGGTGCTTCTCCCGGGCAGTGAGCGGGGCTCTCTCACTGTTTCCTCCTGCTGAGGGCCCTGCGGTCACTGCCGCAGGAGAGCAGCCTCAGGCGAGAGCTTGTCCACCCTGCTGCGCCTCCCAGTGCCTGGGGACTTGAGACGGCACAGATGTTTTGGGAGGTCTGCTCTGGAGGCGAGATCTTGGGGAGCCCCGGCCACCTGCACCCCCAGCTGCATGCACGTGGTGGGAGGGGTCAGTGGCGGCTGCCCCTGCGCCTCCCCAGAGCTCAGCTTGTGGTTTAAATGTCACCTTAGCTTTTTATAATTGGCTCCCACGCCTTAATATTTATGGCCTGATGAAAGCCGTTTCTGTGAGTCATGTCAATATTTTTGTTGGGGTGTGTGTGCGCGCCTGAGTGCAGTTCCTGGGCAAGGTAGACACACACAACCAGGCAGTTTCCTAGGACTGCCCTGGCTGGCCACGTGGCTTCCTCACCAGGGCTCTTCGCTGACCCCGGCCTCCAGGCCTGCGCACCGGGAAGGGCTAGCCCCTGCCGTCGGAGATCCTCTCCCTCTGCAGTTTCTTGGTGACAAGTAGCAGTTGGTTGAAGTGCCAAAGGCGGTGAGCTCTGTGGCTGGACGTCCCCGGGCTCATTCTGAGTCCTTGCTCGTCCCTCAGCCCGACCTCCAGGCCAGGCTTTGTGGCAGGTGCTTCGCCGTGATGCCACATCCCAGGCCCCGGCCATGTTCTGTCAGACTTTGCAGCTCCTCGGGACTGCCGGGCCCTTGGCCGCCTTCCCCATGGTCAGTGTATAATAAGCAGTTAGTTTTGTATTGAGGGTCCTGCAGAGTCGAATTTGGGGACTGTTCCCCATTGCGGCTGGAGTGTGTGGAGGTGAGGGGGCGCATGGGACAGACTCCATGCCCGCCCCATCCCTGCCCACCCCACGCCCTCTGTGTGCCGCTGGGACCAGGGCACCAGCGCCAAGGCCACTTTCCCCGCCTTTTCCCCCCCAGAGCATTGCTGTCCTGGTGATAATGTTCCCTTCTCTCTCCCTTCTTTAGGGTCCCCGAGAAAGACAGACATGTCTGACAAGATGTCAAGTTTCCTACACATCGGAGACATTTGTTCTCTGTACGCGGAGGGGTCCACAAATGGATTTATTAGCACGTTGGGGTAAGAGCGTCCGATTTCTTATGTGGCCAGATTTGCTGGAGACATCGCCCCGCCAGCCCCAAACTCGTGTTGCTCAGCGTGTTGCCACTTTACTTGGCTTTTCCAGGATGGTTCGAATCCTGAAATTCCACGGTCACCAAATTTATCCTTTTACACAGAAAGAGTTTTCCTGCCAGTGCTGCAAGAGTAAAACCTCCCGAACAGGACTCTTCATTTCAGCTTCCTCTCCCTCTGTCGTGAGGGAGGCGCAAAGCACTTGGGGTGACGTTTGGAAGATGATTGTTTACAGTCCCCCCAAGCAGTGCCTTTAGCTGGGTCGCCGCGGCCACCCTCGACGGCGGCTGTCTCGGAAGCGAGGCCCGGAGCCCCCGCGCCGTCTCTCTCCTCCGAAGCTGAAACCTCCTTCAGTCGCTGCTTGCGTTTGAAAGTTGGAATTTCGCACAGGTCTAGAACTCAGATTTTTGCTCTTTTATGCCTTCTTCCATTTCCGCCCAGCTCCGCGGGATAGAAATACGTTCCCGGGTGCGCTCCTCTGACTGTCTTCTCCCCCTCCTCCCACGCCCACTGTCTGGGAGAGGACGTGAGGCGCGCGGCCCTCGCGGACAGCGGTGCGGAGCCCGGTGCTCACGTCCAGAGCGCAGGGCTAGGGCGTGTGTGTGGCGAGAGCGGGGCCGGGCAGTTTGTTGCACTTGGCACAAGCTCATCTCAAATAAGTGGGGGAAGGAAGGCAGCAGCCTCTCCAAGCGCCTCCTCCTCGCTGCCGCCGGGACCGCGCGGTCACAGCTGTCCCTTATTGTCCCCTGTTGTCCCCTGTCCATGGCGAAGGCTGCCCCAGATCTCCCCCAGTCTCCCCAGCCTCAAGGAGGGAGGGGTTCAGGTGTGAAACCCCAGCTCCTCTGGATGTCGCCCTAGACCTGGGCCACTCTCCTGCCCCTTCCTCCTCACTGGAGTCACCCCAGCTTCACTCTGGTTCCGAGTTGCTTCACCTAGTAGGTCAGGTATGCGTGGGGGGCTGCCACGTGCGCATTCTGCTCTGGGTTCTTCATAGAGTCTCAGGCCAGCTGCGATACTGTCCCTGACTCTCCCTCCTGTTGAATTTTGGAGCCCAGGAGGCAAGCAGCTGGCAGGCTTTTCCGGACCTCTGCAGCCCCCCACTGAATAGATAGGAGCGTCCGGCCTAGGCAGTCGCCTCCCTCTGAAAATGCCCCCTCTGCATCCTTGCAGCTGCCTCAACTTCCAGCAGCGCCACTCCCCGCCCACGCAGGGGGTTTCTGACTGCTTTCCTCTTGCTGTCCACAGAGGGTCTGGGGTATATTCCCACCACTCTGCTTCCAGGGGTCTGGCCCCCACTGCGAGGTTCCAGGGCAGGAACCCAGCTCAGCAGGTCTCGCATCCCAGCGCCCAGACTGGCCCCTCAGCTACTTTTTTTTTTTTTTTAAGATTTATTTACTTATACAATAGCGGGGGTACAGGCCAGAGGCGTGGGAGGGCGAGAGAATCCACCAGAAACAGAGCAGGGAACAGAACAGGCAGAAAGACTGAAATACACTGCTGAGGGCATCAGCGGGTGAGACAGGAGAGGTCTGTCATGCTATGTGGGAATCTTCCCAGCCGGGCGGGATTCGAACCGGCCCCTCGGAGGCTGCGGACAGCTTCACAGCACTGCGCTCAACCCGCTGTGCCACCGGGGAGGCCCCCTCAGCTACTTTTACTTGCTGTTGCTGAGCCCAGCTCCCAGCTTCCGAACCATTGTGTGTGGACTCAGCCCCACGCTGGACGTGCACAGGGGAAGGGGTCTAAAATGTGGTGTGTCCACAGCATCAGCTTTGGGATCAGGATTATTAGGCCCTGACTCGGAAACCTCCGGTGGAAACGGGCCCTGGCGGGAGCAGGCGTCCAGGCTTTGCACAGGGGCAGCGGGTATGTGATTGTTGCCTGGGGCGTCTGGCGTGCTCAGGTGCTTAGGTTTTATTTTTCTGCACTGGGCTTGCTACAGCGTTTGTCTTTGTCTCCCCTGCAGCCTGGTTGACGACCGTTGCGTTGTGCAGCCTGAAGCTGGGGACCTCAACAACCCACCCAAGAAATTCAGAGGTAAGTTGGTGGCCTTCCTGGTGTGGCAGCCTTGCCTCTGTTGAAAATTCTCGAACTCTGTTGCTGGGTGCGATTTTTTTGCTCTTAAAACAACTGTACGTTTATTTACCGACGTGTGTTTTCAAGTATGATTTCGGTTCCGAGTTTTATGGTGTCTCTAATGCATAAAGAAGTTCAGTGTCAAGATGTCGGGCGACTTTGGTCAGTTGACCTGGTGAGCACGTGCTGGTAAGTGCTTGTTCAGTCTGCAGGTGTACTTTGGCACAGATTGGTCTCTAAACAGAGGGTTTGTGGGTCCCGTCGCAAGGATCTTTGTTCTGTTAGCAGTCTTGCTGTTTTTTTGGGGGGACGGTGACTTTCTGAAGTGCCTGAATGGGGCTGGGAAGTGCTTGGTGATGGCAACTGCTTGTTGAGTTGGAAGACACAGGCAAGACAGCCTTCCCGTGGCTTTCTCCCAGAAACGCCTCTCTCGCATTTGGCAGCTCCCTGGGAAGCAGCCTAATTTATTCCTGGAGGTGTTTAAAATACCTTTGGTATCTGGAGGTGAGATGAGCTCTTTTGTTACCTCTTTGCTGTTGGTGTGACTGTGATTTGCAGTGACTGTGATTTGCAGTGATCGTGATTTGCAGTGCCGGTTGCGAGGCAGGATGATCCTGAGGGATCTAACATTAAACAGGTGCCCAGGGCTCCCCTCCACTGCAGGTGGGAACCTGGGCACCCGCATTTCTTAAGGCTTCCCGAGTGAGTCTCACACACAGTGGGGCTTGAGCACCCGGCTCAGGAGTTGGACTGAGGGCTCAGCCCCAAGCCTTGCCATTTGCCGACGGTATCGTTTGAGTTACACGTGCTTATTGTTAAGGGATTTAGGGAGGGCTTGATTTCTTTTGGAGAAAAGCTAAAGAAATTGGAATAAAACAGAAGGCAGACACTGGAGGGTGGGAGCCGTTTGGAGATGCTGGCTGTGGCGCCGCATCCAGTTGGCGTCTGGTTGGCTGCTGTCTGGAGGGTGCTTTGCCCGGGAGGGGCTGTTACACTCACCGCTGCCATAAGTGCGTGTGACAGGAGCTGAGGGAGCTGCTGAGTCCCTGGTGCCACCTCCAGAGCAGTGCTGAGTGCAGGAGGGCCCGATCCAGCGACCACGGTCGTGGCAGTAATCCCCATCTGATAGCCTGCTGTACCTCAGTTTACCTTTTCCCAGGGCCAATCCTGGTGGACTGGGAGCCGGGGCCCTAGACTGTGCTTTTAGGTCCTGGTGCCTCAGTCCCCGGCAGGAGGGGGCGCGGGGGGCTGCTCAGGGGCCTCCACAGTTGAGGTTAAGTGGTCTGTCTGGGATCCCACAGCTGAGTGGGTAAAGTGGGGCTGTGGGTCTCAATTTGGCTGTGTGGTGAGTTCACCTGGGCGAGTCCCAGAAAGACCGATGCCAGGTGGCAGCCTCAGGGCTCTGATGTCACTGGGTGTGGGGGTTTGCGAAAGCTCCCCAGGGGTTTCCCTCTGGCAGAGAGCCGGGCTGCACCACTTGCCATTGGGGGGGGACAGCCTGGCCCCGCTGGGCTTCCTGGCTGCCAGCAGCTGGGTCGGGAGCTTTGGAAGGTTAAGCACTGAGCAGGGGTCACAATGGCTGTTTGAATGCAGGCCTAGGACCTTGCGGTGGGGACGGGGCGGGAGAGGTGCGTGTTTTCCCGGCTGACGTGAAGGGATGTTTTGAGAGAAGGCCCTTTGGAAAGAACCAGACTCCATTCCCGGCTTGGCCTGGTGCTGTCGGGGACAGACCGTGAGGTCACAGGTGGACCACCTCCGTCAGTTGAAAGGAAAGGCCCCTGGGTTGGGAGCTGCTCTGCACGGGGGGTGCCTGGCTCAGCACAGGCTGGCTGCGGGCCTCGTGGGCAGTGGGCCCTGCTCAAGGTGAGACCCTGGAGTGCCAGGGAGACCTCGCCCAGCTTGGGCCCCGGGCAGCGAGGCTCCGTACTCTCCGGTCTGTGGCTGTATCCCTGAGCATTCTCCAGCTGTGCTTTCTGAAAGGAGAAGGCCTCTCTCGCGGAGGGGTGTCTGCCCAAGTATGAGTGTGTTTTTGAGCTGAGGTCATTCCACTGTTGATTAAGTGACCCTTGGGCGCGGGGCAGTTGGGAGGCCTCACTGCCATGCCTCTGTGCCCCGGTGTTCCGCAGGCCCCCAGAGGAGTGAGGTGCTGGCCCGACGCCCGCTGGATGGAGGCGTCGTCACCAGAGCCCTGCAGAACTGCGTTCGGTCATTGGTTCTGCTGTGGCTTCCATTGCTTCCTTGCCAAGTTATTTTCTATATTGAGAACCATCATAACCTGTTCTTAAGTAAATGGAAACCAAAGGCCTATTTATGCAATACTCCCTGTGGCTTCCGACGCTGGGTTTTTAATTTTGTAAATGGCTCTTGGAATCTGCTCCCCTACTGGTTAATAACAGGGGCCCTCAGACCTGGCTTCCTGGGGTCAAATCCAAGTTCCCCTGTTCTCAGCCCTGTGCCCCCCGAGAAGCGGCCTAGCCTCTGCAGACCCGGGTCTTCTCATTGTTAAAGGGAGGCGGTGACCTTTCCTGCTTGTCAGGCTGTGGAGGCCCTGATGTGTGCTGGCCCTGATGTGTGTGGGCCCTGATGTGTGCCCTGATGTGTCCTGGGGGCCCTGGGCCTCACCAAGGGTGCGGTGAGTGACGCTGCTCCCGCCTCTGCTCCCAGGACCCAGAGCTGAGCCTGGACTCACAGGTGGAGGCGGAAGGGTAGGGCTGTGTGCCGGTCCCTCACACGAGTCATCGGATGCGGCCCCCCTCTCTGTCTCGAAGTGCCCTTGAGGGTGGGGTGTCCACATGGCCCCCTGGGCCCAGATTTGATGGCCACTGCAAGCCGAGGGCCCGGGGTGTGGTGCTTGATCTTCCAGGGCTTGCTGCCTCACCTGCAGCCTGCAAAGCAGGGTGGGGAGCGCTCCTTCCTGGGGAGGTAATAGGTGGGTGATAGCTGGCGAGGTGCCACGGGGTGCCCGGTGCCAATGCTCAGGCCCAGGCGTGCGAGGCTGGGCTGTTACCACCACGCTTCTCCCTACTGCAGAGAGGTGCCAGCCCAGGGTGATTTCTTACTGGGCCTGCTGCCCTGACTGCCCGTAGGAAGAGAGGACTGGTGCCCATCAGCCGCGGTCTGCATTCTGGATGTGTGCGGGCGGCAGCCCTGCCCCTGGGCTGTGTGAGCCCCTGAGACTGGCCAGGCCTGCTCTTGCAGGGCTGACTGACACGGCACGGGTGTCCGTGGGTGATGGCAGAACCTTATTTTCTGTTGCTTACGTTCCCCAACACTCCAGTGCCCTCGTCTCCCCCCACCCTAACCTCAGGGTGCTTCTTGGTGCCCCCTGGTTTTTGAAAGTGTTTTGCGTTGTTGCATTGTCTGCTGCATGTGTCCGGTGTTTGCTTCCATTGTCCAGCTGACTTCGCTGCACGTAATTCCCTCAAATTCCCTACATTTTGTTGAAAATGGCTGCATTTTGTCCTTTTGGGGTGGATCGACCACACTGTCTGACCGGTGTCCTTCAGTGGACATTCAGGCTGTTTCCATGTCCCGCGGTCCTGAATAAGCTCCATGAGCGTTGTCGGGTGCACGGGGCTGTCACTTAGGGGTCACAGTCTTTGGGCAGATGCCCACGAGAGGGGTGGCCGGGGTCTGGTAATTCCGTTTTCAGTTTTTTAAGGCAAATCCAGGTTGCTTTCCATAAGGGCAGCAGCGGCTCACCTTCGGGGGCGTCTGAGTTTTGCTGATGTCACGTTGACCGATGGCAGTTGAGCACCTGGCTCAGCGCCGAGGCCCCTTAGTCTCAGTGTCAGACGAGAACCCTCTTCCTGTGCTCGCCCCTGCCAACCCTTTCCCACGGGGCCCGGGGCCCTTGCCTCAGATGCCCGTGGCCTCTCCTCGTGGCTCTGATGGGGCATTTCAGCGAGGACCAAAGTCCAGCGGGAAGAGGGCAAACAGTGCCCGGCGGACGTGTGCATTCTTTAATGCTTTCTCAGCTGTCCCCAGTGCCAGCCACGGGTGGCGGCGTGTCACCTGCGGCTCGTCCCATGCCTGGTGCAGCGCTGGGAGTGTGGCCCTGCCGCTGGCACTCCCCTCTGGAGACCCCGACTGCTCAGCATGTGCCCTGGTGGCCTCAGTGCGAGAGGAGGGCGCTGGCTGTCTCGGAAGAGCCACTCACGCACCTTAACCACAGCCAGGAACTTGAGCCCCAGCCTCCAGGACCCTCTATCCTCATCACAGAGAGCTGGTCGTGTGCCCCCCGCCCGGGGCTTGCAGGCACTGCAGGGCTTGGCTGGGAGAAGAGTCTTGTGCTGTGAAGCTTTGTCCACTGGCCTTGAGGCTCACAGCAGCTCGAAGGGGGCCTCCAGCAGAGGGTGGGGAGTCAGGAAGGAGAGGGGCCCCGGCCTGTTGCGCCTGCAATGTGGGAGCTTTTAAAGGACTTAGGAAATGGGGGTGCGCATGAAGCACCCCAGCTGTGTCTGTCCCCTCTGATGCTTGGGGAGGGGGTGTTGTTTCATCCCTCCTGGCCTCACTTTCCCTGTTTGTTGAGTGGAGTGTAAGCGAAGTCATTCCTGAGATCCCTTTTGTTGTGAGACTTTGAAATCAGCGCCAAGGAGACAGTGTCCCAGGGATGCGCAGGAGCCAGCGCAGTCCAGAAGCTTCTGCTGCCTGGGGTTGCCGGGGGTCTTCGTCTAGAACAGACGTACGGACAGAGGCGGCCAGGCCTGCCCCCAGAGCCTCTTGGGGACGCAGCCAGGACCTAGGGTCACAAAGGTCACTTGGGCCGGGTGGCCTGGACAGACCGCCGGGCTCGCTGGCCTTCCACCGCCCTCCTCGGCTGCACGTTGCCTCAGGCGTTGCTAAGCAACGATCTTTTTAATTTTTTTCCTCTTGGCAAAAGGCATCCAAGGAATGAACCCATATCTGACTGAGTTTTAAATACCACATGCAAAGGGGTGGGCCTAGCTTAAATCTTGTTT